AGAGAAATGATCCTCACCACTAGAAAACCAACAGATGAAGTTTATCAGGCGAGTGAGTAGCTCCATCGAACAAAAAGTTAGTAGGAGCTAGCTATCTACTTATTCTTACCGCAGCAGATTGGGCGTAATAGGCGGTGAATGAAGAGATAGCGGTTCGCCGGACGCCAATGACGATTTTCACCGTGTGCCCCGTAGCAGAGTGGACGCGGAGGACAGGTACGTACGCATGGATTACTTTATGGTGGTCATAAATTTGCAAAGCATCTACCGCACTCTCTGCTTCCTTCTCTTCCTAGACCCCGCAGGAAGACAGAGTTGAGAAGATTGGGGGCGGAATCGAGGACAGTGGCTGACAAGAACAAAGAGCGTGCCTATGTGCGTTTCGTACGCTTGGTCCGCGCGAATCACGAATCATGTTTTCATATAAGGAGCAAAGAGGGGCTCAGATCCCAACTGAGTATGCTACCACAAAAGTCTAGGCTATGAAAGAGACACTGCAGCTTGAATATCCGGACTGAGAGGAGGACCAGAATATCCCGTCAGTCAACAGCCTTTGAAACCACAGAGCACTTCATTGCGCGTCAGATTGTTTATAATGCGGAATATGCACTGAGTGCCGTTGTGATGGGGTCCCCTACGTCGACCTTCTTCCACCCCCTTTTTCCTCCCGGGCACCAGTAGGTCAGGCAGGATGGGGTGCAGGTGGCTAGCGCGACATAATCCTGCATCTCAGCGTGTCACACCCCTCCGTTTGTCACATTTGTAATGGGTTTGCGGCTCGACCATCGCGCGTCTTATTTGGAGCTGGCTCTCGCGTGGGTCCCACGCGCCTCTCGCGTAGCGGCTGAAGACATCAAAAAGCCGGAAAAAACAAATGGTCTAGTCTCATACTAGTCAGCCGATGTCCCATATAAATTTTCACTCTACAACACATACATTTGGATGAAAATGAGCTATCCTTGAAACTAGTTTTTCAAAGTCTTGCCGTATTTTTGATTAAAAAGCCGCACTTCTGCATGTATGACAACCTGGAGACTGTCTGTGATGCCATAAAATAACATCCTGTAGAGGACTACGGAAGGCCGAAATGCTGGACAAGTAGTGTGGAGAAATTTGAAGATATTGCAATACATGAATGTTCAAGCATGTGTCATTTTAGTTTTCTAAAATATTAAAACATTTTGCGAAATATTAAACACTTTATTTTAAATAGCGACAATACCCGAAAAATTAAAAAATACGAATTTATTGGAGTTTGTTCGACTAATTCGCCGATTTCAACCGCTTAGACCTAAAAGA